TCTCCTTGCTTTTGGGCTAAAACGGCACCATAGGGAGACGGTTTTCCAACTTTTGCATGTGCACCAGCCAGTTGATTTTCCAATGATTCCTAAAGTTGTTGACTCCATCTGCCCTTTCCTCAATAAAACATTCAATATATCGGTGATCCGAAAAGGAGTGTTCTTCAAGAACCTTCCATTGGGTTACCCTGTTAAGCAGTTCTTCCGACACAAGTGTGATATTTAGTACTTCTTGTCGGATTCTTGTGATAAAAGTTGGCATATTGCTTTTATTACACAACAAAATCTTAGTGTCTAGGAAGTATTTAAGGAGACACTCACCTCTGTCATTGACATCTGTGCTGCCTCAGCTTGTATGGTGCTCGTTAGAGTCACAGCCAAGAGTTAGTTAGAGTAACTTGACACCAAGCGGTAACTACTTGCGCCCATTTCCCAGCTTACTGCTGTTGTGTCATGGTTGCTATACCGATGTAACATAAAAACGTGAAGGTTTTCTTTGCCATTATACATGCTCTGGCTTTACCCTCACAATTAGCCATATATAGCTTGTAGTTCGGTGTCCTCAGTCCGCATATACGCCCTCCATGAACTCATGACTGCTGAATGAGGAAAAACCCAGGATAGTATATTTCCACGCGCAACTAGAGGTACTGAAGCTAGTTTACTGTGATGGAGATTAGTTTGTTGAAGAAGCATTAACAATTGTTATATCTGCATCTTCCTGAGAGTCACTTAAGAGCTCTCTCTTTCAGAAGGTCTCAAACCTTTAATTGATCTTCCTCGACTTCGCCCATCTCATTTTCTTATGCTAGGTGGTCTGCAGCATCGTCATCCGACTTGTAGGTCGTGATTTTCACCTTCGGGAATCAATAATTGACCTCCCCGCCACTTTTTGCGTGCGATTAGATGGACTCCTTTGTAAGTAACAGCAGAATCTGCATCCTGGCCCTTTTGGTCTCCACGTCAGATTCTGCTACGCGGTCCTCGAAGGCTTTGACAAATTTCCACCCCTCCGTAGGCAGACTCGGATTGCAGGCTCTCATGAGCTGCATAATCTAGTCCGCCTGTGATGGTGTAGCCGAGATCCAGACCCATGCCCTTGGTCTGGACGGGTCCCTTTTGTCTACCACTACAAATTTAGCTCCGGGATACACCTCCCTTACCTTTGTTATAACAGCTTTAAAGAGCACGACCGATCTCTCGTCATTTTGATCTGACCTTGGCACCTGCCGGCATCTGTGATTGCTTAATAACATCTTCACCGCCTCATTTGTCAGCGCAGCTTGCACCTATTTTCATTGGGCTCCGGGAATTCTTCTTTCGGGATCTCCCTCATCCAGTACTCCAATAGTAATTCGGTTTCAGGCCACATCGGCAAATGATTTTGTGGGCGCTACACTCTTCGTCTTTGGTCTCTTGGCTGACGGCTTGGCTTCTTCAGCTGACCTCTGTTGCTTGGCTGCCGTTACTGGCGGTTCAAGATTAAAGTTTGATATGACTGCTCTCACGCAGTCAATTGATTCCTGGAGCTCCTTTGTTAGCTCCTCCTTGGTTGGCGGTTGCTATTCCACTTTTCACAGTAGTTATGTGCCGTATACCTTGCCTTCGACGGGTCTTGAATTTGGCATCTTCCCCCTCCGCCTGCTTACAGCCGTGCTTTGGCTGCAAGGTTTGGATCCGGCTGCTTCCAGTACTACTACTTTCATGAAGCTAGGCTTGGCTTCTGCCTCTTTATTAGTGCTTGCCTTTTCGCCAGGACCAAGCTTCGCTCCTGTCCTTATGCTGGTTGCTTTCAGGCTCGTACCGAACGCTGCCCTCTTTTGGGAACAACTCCCTCCAGCTTTGTTATAGGAGATGCGGGCTCATTTAAATTTGTGTTCGTTATTTTGTTTTTATTGTTCAGGCTCATAATAGGTCCCACGAGTGTAGGAGAAAGTATGTCCGCTTGCGAATAGCCCCCGCTACGCAAGTGAGGCTGTCTTTTTACAGAGGGCGCCAGGTATCCGTATGCTCCGTTCGAGACTGGACTATTTAAGGACCCCTAGTTAGGATGATCCTCGGCACGGGACCCATGAAACCTTGAACCTGCCCTTTTTTATACCTCCGACCATAGTAAGACTCCTTATCTGTATGCTGTGCTGTTACCAGCCCGTCCTTGCTTACGTCGTGAAACTGCGGTATATATTACCAGACGGCACCCATGGGGGATTTCTGCCAACCCTGTTTTTTCTAAGGTGTAATAGGCTAATCTAAGCGAATTTATATTTCCTGCATAGATTATTGCCGATAAATGTTGCAATATGTCACACAACTTTTTTTTTTAAATTAAGGACTCGTTAATATTTGGTGAATACTCCAACGGTTTATCCGGGTCCTCATTATACTTAGAATTAAGTTTGTCTAGGATATTTTTCAAATTATTATAGTATTGGCTTACATTATAATTTTTCGTGGATATGGCTCGGTGAAGAAGTTGATTATATGTCTCGCGAACTCCAAACCATATCACATCAAAACAGAGCTGATAAAGAATGTTCTGTTTTGATATCATGTTGCCGCCGCACTCAATGTTTGGATGACCCGGAGTGTTGGCCCCTGTATTTTAGTTTTGACGTGCCTTTCCAGGATATATTGTTGCATCGCTATGTTGTCATTGTAGAAAAGAAGAATTAAGTCGACTTCCCTCAGGAATGATGTGAGGTCATTTTCTCCATCGCCAAAGTATGGGCGGATTCTCGCTGCTTCTTTAATTAATACGGTTACGGGCAGTTGCTGCTGTTCTTGAAGGTTTACCATTGTAGCTTGTTCAAAATTAAGTTTAATCAGAGTTGCACTAATATTCGTTTCCTGTTTTTCTTTGTTACAGATTTGTTTTTTTTTATTGTATGTGTGTTTCCTTATAGTTGAATACAGTCACTTGCACTTACGTGTAGCACTTTTGGCACAATAATATTTTTTAGGGAATTTGTTGTTAATAATTTTATTGTTTAACTTTCTTAATATTCTTAGGAATATTTTAAACTTATTTGTACGCGCTTTCTTCTGAAAAGGGCCCGTGGTTCTTTACAATTCTTTAGTATTGTTTGCCGTTCGATTGCGGCAAAAATGTAGACTGAACTTCTGTTCAATTTACAGAGAAACGCAATTTATCACTTCGATGTGTAAATTTATTCTGATTTTGGTTTAAAACGAAATTTCATAGGCTAAGTCTTACTTTCATTGCAAACATATTTCTTTTTTGGTGTTACGGCTTTTGTACTTATTTAAACGTTTATTGCATATAAATGATGGTGTAACGAATTTTGTGTATGTCGGAATATTAATTTATTATTTCCGGGTAATCTAATTTTGTATATGAATATTATTTATTATGCCGCAATGATTTTTGTACTTGTGTGTATGTATTTGTGTATAGCATTGCAGCAACGATATTTGAAATGTTATCCCAGTGCACTGGTTTTTTGTAATATGACCACCGTTGTAGAAAGTGCCGCAAAAAGGGAATTATAAAATATGAAATTTGTTAAGTGCCATATTGTGACACATTTGTTTGCCACTTTGCAATAAATTGGAAGTGTGGCTGGCATACGTTGTAAACATGCTTTGGTTATGTTTATGCAGCTCACTGGCTTGCAACGATGGCAAAGTAACTTCTTCGTGGCGTGCGATAGTTCGTACTCTATCGATGCAAAGCATGTTTGATTCCGCATGCCGCTACTTTTCGCGCCACACGCGTGGAAAAATTGCTAGTAGAAAGCGCGAGAGACAAAGTTGCAAAATTTGACAAAATCACAGATTTGAACGGCGAAATTTATAAATTAGTAACTAAAGAGCCTAATGTACATAAGTGATAATAGTTGCAAATTGAAAACAAATTATTAAAAATCATAAAATAGAAAAAGGCGTATAACTCATTGGAAAGCTGAGAAAAAATCGTAAGCGTTAGGCCGATTAGTTATTTTTATAATGAAATATTTTTCTTCGCTTACGCAAATACTTAAAGGTTGAAATTTTGAAAACTCATAACTCCAAAATATTTTATTTTGAGTCGAAATAAAAAATAGGTGTTCAATTATTTGCCTCAAAGACCAAAAAAAATGTTTCGCTCGAGAACTAATTTTGAATGTAAATTTTGGATGGAATGACCCATTTACTTGTATACATAAATGATCAGCGTAACAAGCTTAGTCGACTTGGATATGTCCGTCTGTCTATCCGTCTGTCCGTCCGTTTGTCTTTATCTATGCGAACTAGTCCCTCAGTTTTTGAGATATCGATCTGAAATATTGCACCCTTCCGTTTCTCAACAAAAAGCTGCTCATTTGTCGGAACGGCCGATATCGGGCTACTGCAGCATAGAGATGCCAAACAAAATTAACGATGTTAATAATGTGCTTGTATGGAAAGCTATTTTATTTGACCAGATATCTGCAAGAAATTTGGCATGCGTTTTTTCTTAAAGCAATGGTGGGATCTCCAAAGCAATTGTTCAGATCGGATTACTATAGCTCATAGCTGCCATACAAACAGAACGATCAAAATCCAGTGCTTGTATTGAAGACGTTTTCACTTGTAGAGAAATCTTCATGAAATTTGGCATGGGTTATTGTCTAGGGCAATTATGCAATTTTGAAGAAATTGTTCAGATCCAGTAACTATAGCTGCCATAGAAACTGACCGATCAAGGTTCCCGGTAGGTATTTTTTTGTAGTTGTGATGGGTATTATAAATATATAGGAGTTAGCGTTTGTTCTTGTTCTTTCATATCTTTGTGTGTCACAGATATATATAATACAGTGGTGTGCGCTTCCCAATAAATTGTGTATATAATTGTTTAAGGGAGTGGGCATGGTTATATTTTGATAGCCAATTTCCCGACAATTAATACCGATAAACCAACTATTATGATTGAGTTCTAAATTTTGAGAAATGTATACAGAACATAAATTTCCTCAATTACTTGGCCATTATTATGTATTTATTAATTCCTAATTTATTAGCTATCTGCAGCGACGATGTGGAGTCTATTCGCTGTCGATATGAAGTATGCATTAGAAGAACACGAACAGCATCGCCTTTGTAAATCGTCGGCATATATGAATCTACATTTTCGTGTAAAATGGCTCTACAGCAATTATGTTAAAGAGGTGCCACCATATAAGGGTGCTGTTCCCGAATATCCAGCCTGGTTTGAGCCTTTCGTCATGCAATGGTTAAACGAAAATGATGACGTATCCTTAGAATATTTGCATGGTGCATTCAACCGTGATAAGAAAGATGGGGTGAATGCCGAAAAACACATATTAATCTTAATAATTACTTTGTTTCTAATTACAGTTCCAAAAGAGTAGTGAGCATGCCTTATTTTCCAACTCAGTTGTTGACGTATTTACACAGTTGACACAGTGTTTCGATGTTGTTAGCAAACTCGAGTGTCCGGATCCAGAAATCTGGAAGCGTTACATGAGGCGTTTTGCTAAAACAATCGTAAAAGTACTGATTGCATATGCCGATATCGTCAAGAAAGAGTTTCCTGATCATATGAAAGATGAAAGAATTGTAGGTAAAAATTGTCTATGGATACTATTAAATTATGTAATAAAAATATTTAATAGGCATGCATACTTATGAATAATATACAGCAACTGAGGGTTCAATTAGAAAAAATGTTCGAATCAATGGGTGGAGATAAGCTGGAGGAAGATGCTGCGAATATACTTAAAGAATTACAACAGAACCTAAATATGGCTTTAGATGACTTGGCATCCCAGTTCGCTGTCAGGTATGATTTCATATTTTTCAAGAGATGATCTTGATCCTGATACTTTAAGTCTTTCAAACAGCTTCTGAACAACCTGAGAATTTAACATTTTTTTTCAATATGCCAATTCCTAACGCACTTATCTACTTACCCAAGAAATTTAATTGTTATCACTATCTTACTTAACTGAAAAAGCACAGTTAGATCTACTTTTGTGTTAATTGCCCCGCTTGTGCAGTTTCAACTAAGGAGTAGTATTTGTAATATAGTTTTGTCACTATTACTGACATAAATCGCACATTTTCTGCTGTCTTCTACAAAGTTGTGTCTCTTTATCTGAAAAAACATGAGTTCAGTAATCTGTATTATTTGAAATGTGTCACTTTCGATGAAATAGTTGTGAGTATCATACTCTTTTTCGATGTCGAACTCAAAAGTGTCTCTTAATTTTTCTGTTAAACTGGAAAATCAATAATATTTGAGTAAGACGCTCTTTGAAGAAGGTATTCTATCTACTTTATGGACGACGATATATTAGCAATATTTTTTGTTCCTCCTGAACATATTTCATTTTTCGAGTTGTGACTCTTTTGTAGTTAGTGTGCGATATGTTCCTTACACATTTAACAGTTTCTCTACACATTACGTTCAAATAACGGTCTGACTATACGTCAGTGCTACGGATAACTTAAATACGTTTTGAGATATGTTGATGAACCTAAGTAAAACGAAGGACGATCACACAATTGAGGGCTTAATTATGGGGCATTCAAAGCTAATTAAGTCTTTCTTTGACGTACCGATCGATTCAATACTGAAAATGTTAATGAATACATAAGGTGGCTTAGTTAAATATATGAAATTGGTTTAAATCTCACTCTGGTCCCTTACCGGAAATATTAACCCAAATCTTCACTTGCCCCATTTTACGAGATCTCTTAAAGTGAATTATTGAATAATATTTCCTGTCTGCAGCATAAGTAAATTGGTATCGAAAATGTCTGCAATTTGTCTGCATATAAGATATATACTACTTTGTATTTTATTTTTGATACTACATCTTTTATACTCTTTTAAACGTTGTTTTAACGACTTTTGCCGGCTCCTCCTCTTTAATTCGTACAATTTGAGAGTCCTTTTAGTGTACATTTTTTTTTGTTGTATTTAGGCCCCGTCTTATTTGCTATATTTTCATAAATTCTTACATTTTTCTCTGTGACAGCCTTGAGCCGCGTATAACACAGTCCGTACGAGAGTTAGGAGATCTCCTGCTTTCTGTTAAAGGAGGTAATAATATGAATTTCAATCAAGCAGCGCAAGGAAATGTTGTTGCAGTTGAAGCTGATGAGGTCCTCCGACCACTGATGGATTTGCTAGATGGTTCATTAACCCTTTATGCTCAATCCTGTGAAAAAACTGTACTTAAACGGTTGCTCAAAGAGCTATGGAAAATTGTTATGCGCATTTTGGAGAAGACGATCGTGTTACCTCCAATGACTGATAAAAGCGTAAGCACAAAATAAAATGCTAAAACTCTCAATCCTCTAATTTTACTAACGATTATCCATAATTCCAAATTTACATTTACAGATGATGTTCAAACACCTAACGGATAATGCTAAGAACCTTGCTTCGAATGCCAAAATTGAAGATATGGGTAGATTATTCAAAAGTCATATGTCTGGCAAACAAGATGTTAAGAGTGCTCTTAGTGGTGTTATGGATATTTCCAAGGAGGTCGAAAAAAATTTGTCACCTAAACAATGTGCTGTATTAGATGTTGCCTTAGATACCATCAAGCAATATTTCCATGCTGCTGGTAATGGACTGAAAAAAACATTTCTTGAGAAGTCGCCAGAGTTACAAAGTTTACGATACGCTTTAAGCTTATACACTCAAATGACGGACACACTTATTAAGACTTTTATCTCCAGCCAAGTTCATGAAAGTGAGTAAATATTTTTAAACTAGCAAAAATACACTTGAACATATACAAGTATTTAAAAATGTTATTGTATATAATGTTTGTGTACATCCTATGTAGTTTAAGTTAGAGAACGTAGTATTACAAGAGTTCAGTAATTTCGTTTGAGGAGTAAAAAAACCATAAAAAATTTTTACTCATTAATATCTTATTCCAGTTGATCCTGAAAATCAAGAGGAAAGTGTTGGTGAAATATCGGTACAAATTGATCTCTTCTCACATCCCGGCACCGGCGAGCACAAAGTTAATGTAAAAGGTACAAAAATAAAGCAAGTAAAAAATGATAACGAAAACACAGTAAAGTTATGAAAATATACTTAAATGTAATGTTTACTCAAATATAGAGATAAGGCTTATGTGTTCATTCGTTCGTTATTTCTAGTTGTCGCTGCAAATGATATAAAATGGCAAATTGCGTCAGGGATGTTTCGTCCATTTATTGAAATTAATTTGATCGGACCACATTTACAGGATAGGAAACGTAAATTTGCAACAAAGTCCAAGTCGAACAATTGGTCGCCAAAATATAATGAAACATTTAATTTGTAAGGATTAATTTATATATTTTCAACTATTCAAGCTTTATATGAATAAAACGCATATTTTATCCTGATATACGCAGCACAATTGGCAACGAGGAGCAGTTGGAGTTTTTTGAATTGCATATCTGTGTTAAAGACTACTGCTTTGCTAGAGAAGACCGCCTAGTAGGTGTTGCTGTAATACCATTAAAAGACATATCGGAAAAGGTAAAAAATTTGATATTCTATATTCTATTTAATTTCTTTACAAGGCTTAATATTTATATATACATACATATTTCTGCACTTACATTGTTGTTAGTGGTATTAACTATTTTTACAGCAGTAGGTTTAGTTAGAACCGATTGTATAATTTTTCTGCTCTCTGACCATATATATATAAGAGCTTTGTTCACCTAACGGTTGTTTATCACACCTAAAACTAATCGATATGGATGTGTATTATATATTTTTCAGGACGATTCACTCATAATTTCGTTGAATATTGAATTCATATGCAAATTTTTTTAGTATTAAAAACTCCCAATTATTGAAAATATGCGCCCGCGTTTGAGAGAGAGAGTTTTGATCAATTTTGTATCGTTTTAAAATTTTTAGGGTTCGGTTGCTTGTTGGCTACCCCTGCAGCGTCGTATACACATGGACGAGACGGGTTGGACGATTTTACGCATTTTATCACAACGTAATAATGATGAGGTCGCCAAAGAGTTTGTGAAACTTAAATCAGAAATACGCCAGGAACCTCTAGTTGGGACATAACTCAGTTAGAAAAACCAGAAAAACGTGCTGTACTAATTAAAATAAATATTTATTTAATTAGGTAAGCTGAAAGATAGTATTTAATGTAAAAAATATTAATTGTTGTACATGCATATACATAATTATAAAAATATTGCAAATAAATAGTATGTTATATATATAAAATAAATAATATTAAATGTAATACTGTATGTTACTGCAAGCTTATTAGTATTATTATCTGAACAATGCAAACAATACTTATATTCTGCTTCATCATAACCGAACAGATATATCACATTAACAATAATAATAATTCTTACTGTTACAATAATGAATGGTTTTAAATTGTAATTGCTGCACACTATTAAAACATAAAAACCAAATATACAATATTTAGCAATATACAATAGCTTAACATTATATAATAACGAAATTCGTAAGAATTATGTCTTTATTAGCAAAATTAATATCTAAATGAGTTATGGTATCCATTAACAAAATCAAACAACTACCATAAATACATAGTAAACTATACCGCGCTGATCCTCTGATCCGAGGTGGTGGTCGTAACCGGAAAAAACCAATTTTGTTTGATGTACGCTTTTGATAAATTTTTGCTTAGTTATATTTTGAAATTTTTTGGCAAACAACCATATCTGCCAAATAAAAATTTTCACAATCCACAAAAATATTATATAAACGTTTTTTGTTAATAATAAATATCCTATGTCCCTTCTAATACCATTTGGATTATGGTGTACAAAGTTTCATGATAATCGTTTTAGTGGTTTCTTGGACTTGATTTTTTAAAATAATTTACTACAACAGAATATTATTCCAGTATATTTTTGTACAATATATTGTAAGTTTTTCTGGCAGGTGAAATATGTTCAAATTTGGGGCATGGCTTTTCTATTGTAGTGCTTTTTTTTTGGGAACAGCTGAGACCAGAAACTGAACTGAATTAAAATGGAAAGTCAGAGCTATAAAGCTTGAAGCCTGCTTAATGCAGTAATATACGCAGACAAAAACGTTCGAAATTTGTAACGAGTTCCGTGTAGACACGGCCAAGAGGCCATAAAACACTTTCTTGAAATGTGCTTTCATTCAAACAAACACACTGTCCGTTTTCTAAATGTACTGCATGATGTAAAACAGTTTGAAATATTTTTTGTAATGGAAATCCAAGCAGCCCCCACGCTGCTTCAATGCTACTCACATATCTTCATGTTTGATATGTTTGCATTCGATTTAGGGGCTATTAAGTACCTTCATTACGCAGATTGAGGATTGCTTGATCGTTTCCTTTATTGATCACTGCGATTTCGATTATTTTTAAAATTTTTCAAAATACAACAAAAAAATTATATTTCTAACTTTTCAAATTTTTAAACTTGTTTACAAAGAATCAAATCTGCCAAAAAGAGATTTTTTCTTAATATAAGAATTCTATGTGCTTTCTAATACGGCTGTACAAATAGCACCTATCTCGCTGCCCCGACATATCAACCGAGTAGCCAACTAAGGACCTCCTCAGCTCCAAGGAGCTCAATTAGGCAGCCTTGTGCCCAATCTGACTTAATATAAAGCAATATACATGAAATGTGCGAACCTTATAAGAAACCATGGCCCCACAACATTTAGCAAAAGCAGTAGTACAAAGCTTGAAAAACGCATTCATAGATGTCAAAATAGAGAAATTATTCGAAACTTTCCACCGGTAAAAATTTTGAAATACCTTCGGTAAAAATTTTGAAATACCTTCGTTGAATTAGATAAGGTCGTTGTGTTAATTCAAATTCAATGAATCTCACTTAGACAGAAAGTCGTCCTATGTGTTACCCAAAAACTCCTAAACGGTAGATCACCAGATCCTCATCGATCGACGAATCGTTTTGGGGTTACCACAAACTTATTAAGGCGGTTGATATCAATCCTAGCTGCTTCACTGGGTTCGCTAAAGATGCGTCTACCGAGATATTTCAATCTCAGTCTGGCAAAAGCTGGACAATAAGGTAGGGAGGGAAGGGAAGATGATTCCACCTTGCCTTTCTCCATACAGCTTTGGCAAAGAGAGTCTGACAGAAAATTTAGCCGCACCGCGTGTAAACCTATTGGATAGTGTCCAGTCAGAATACATATAAGTATGACGAGATTGACTTTGCTAAGAGCCAGTAGTTCGGATGACCTCTTACGGTTCTCTCCGGACCAAAATGATCTTGCAGTCGAACAAGTTCTGGTTGTTGACCAGTGCTTTCTGGTCCAACGCCAGAACGCATGCACACATCCGACCGAATCCAATCGGATGAAATTGAGGAAAGGGAGGCCTCCCTAGCCAGCTCATCGGCTTTGGCGTTTCCAGCGATTCCGCTGTGGCCGGGCACCCATACAAGTCGAATATGGAAGAAGCCTGAAGCTATTGTTATTAAGGTCATGCATTCCTTGACTAGTTTGAGCGCACAGTCAGCGAGCTCACACCCAGTATATCCGCTCGCCTGTCGGAGTTAATGCACACTTCTCTCAAGGAGACTGCACTACGGAGGAGTACATCTACAGCTGCCTTGTTGGCAGCCACCTCCGCTTGAAAGACGCTACAGTGATCTGGTAGTCTGAAACTAGAGTTGATGGAGAACTCCCGACAGAAGACTTCACCACCTACTCTCCCCCTTCACTTCGATTCTTCCGGAAAGAAGCTCACTGCACTCCTTCTCCAAGGGCTTCACCCCGCCCCCAAATCCTTCCTTGTGTGAGCCAAGAAGGAACCGTCCGGAGAAGGTTCTGCGGTGCAGTGATTTATGTTGGAAGGAATGCAATCGAAACGTGTCCCTGCCCGGGTCCTCCTATATACCTAGCTTCCCTAAGTCTAATGGCAGTCTTCGCCACCAAGCACCTACCATTGATGTCAAGGTGCAACGTATAGAATGGCATTGTTGGGGTAGTCCTTGGTGCATCACAGAGACCGATGGGGGCCGCTCTTTGAACACGCTCCAGCTGCTTAGCTAGTGTGGTTTTCCTAAGCGCTCGCCAACAAACAACGACACCATAAAACAATAATGGCTTAACTATGGTTTCATATAGCCAGAACACCACTTTAGGTGAGAGGCCTCACCTTTTCCCAATTACTCCTCTTCCATGAGGGCTTCCTATCAAGGATAAGTCCCAAGTACTTCACCCGGTCAACCGGTTAAAGAATAAAGCTTCCCAACGAGGGCAGACTAACATCAGAGATTTTATACATCCTAGTAAATATAACTAGCTCACTTTTATTTTAGATTTTATGGTAACCACATTTGAAGACCCTTGCGTAAGATAGTAGATGGTGTTCACGAATTTTCCTTTTACCAAAAGAACTACATCGTCTGAGCAGGCAACCACTTGATCTCTCTAGAATTTTCAATAGAAACTAGGAGAGACTGATAGGTCTAAAGCCTTGACAGTGTCATAAGAGCTTTTACCGGCTCCTAAATTCCTGAACGCTACTCTAACCTGTCGCCAAGTCGCCGGAATGTGACCTAATCTGACGCAGTTCGCGTAGATGTGGCAATCAACTGCATGATACCTTTGTTGCACACTGAAGCTGTGCAGGTACAATGCCGTCGGGTCCTGGAGACTTGAACGGTTTAAAAGAGTTAATAGGCCACGGTCTGAGGCTGTATAACGTTCTTCTTCCTTAGATGGGTTTAGCGGAAAGTGAGCGTCCAGGAGTAGGCGTAGCGATTCCTTACTACTCATAGCCCAGTTTCCAGACCCCTTTCTAAGATACCCCAATGGGGTAGGATTCTTTGCGCGAAGACGCCTAAGCGTAGAAAATTCTGGTGTTCACCAAGAAGGTTTTCCAGTTCCTTTCTGAGTTTTCAGAGGACAAGAGCTTTCAAGGGGATACAGAACTGAAGACCTCGAGGCACTCATCGATCGCGCTGGCAGATAATCTTGAGCTTCGAGCTGGCGCAACAGGAAGTACTGATCGAACCTTATTACCTTAAAGGTCTCAGTCCGTGTTTCTAAAGTGTATATATGGTTCTGTCCAGGTTAAAACTAATATATCTATGATCAGAGAAGGAATGGTCATTAAGAACCCTCCATTCAAAGATTAAGGAAGGTATTTCGAAGGTATTAAAGTGAGGTCAAGGACTTCTTCCCTGTCTGCAGTTACAAAAGTGGGGGAGTTTCCCTTGTTACTAATATATAAGTCTTCACTACAAATGAAATCACAAAGTGGCTCACCTCTAGCTTTTACCATGTCCGAGCTTTCCCAGACCAAGTGCCTTGACTTCGCGTCCGAACAAATAATGACGCTCGCTTTCTTTCGATGGGGCTCCGGCAGAATTTTTCTCAGCATCACTGGAGGTGACTCCACCCCGTTATCGTGCGGAATGCCGAGATGAGCCAGAGCTCCCCGGCTTCGCCCTTGAGAAGTGCTCGTTGCTGAGATAAGGTAAGATAAAAGCATTTATTTTGTTTCAGAATAGCAGAAAAGCTCTGATTTCACCTGCACTGTTGGCCGCCAGCATCTTATGACTTCTCGTCCTTAGGCCAGAAATGCCGCTACTGCTCAACCTCGGCTCCTGGAGTAAAACGACATCAGCTCCGCCTCTTCCGAGACGAATCAAAAGATAGACGGATGCCGTATTCGAGTACTGGAGATTAATCTGAAGGATCTACATTCTCCAAACTTTTCTCAAAAAGTGCGAATTCCGTACTTGTAAAACTCTCGACACCGACCTCCTCGAATAGCCGCTCGAGATTGAAGGCAGAGTGATACCTTCTCTCCTGTCGCTCCTGGATGCTGTGGGACATCCGATCTGGCATCGATCGGGAGAATCCTAAGGACCACCCTCCCAAAGCCATTGTTAATGGAACCCATTGCGTCGGTGAGAGGACCGATGGACTCCTTGTTCAGAAGGATAAGCTCCTGCCGATATCGTTCTCTCGAGCCATTTCACTCTCCTGTCTCTTGTTGGGCAGTAACGCAAAATTTCCTCTATCTCCTCAGGTGTGGAGGTTTCTGAAGGAAGCCAAGCGCATGCGCGAGCGCGCAGTGAAAGATTTAGAGCCTCTAGAATAGCTTCCTTCCAAATCTCTCCAACACTAGCTACCGCACTTTCTTATACAAAGACGCCGATCATTCGTTGGCACATCTGGCCAGCTTGTTTATCCTGTGGTGCGAGCCCGCACTCTCACACCTCGGAAGTGGCTCGGAGTTTCTGCCGTCGCTTGCTGTCCACCGGGGCTTTTAGCATTGCCTGTGGTCCCCGAACCCACCACAAACTTAGCAGAACTCGCACCTCCGCCCTACCAACGTATCCAGCCGACAGGCTTCTGCTGACTGGCTTTCCATCCCTAGCCGGTAATTACGCTTTTGAAAGGGAGATTTTCCCGCTGCCTTTCGTGGAGGACGATTCCGATCAAATGTGCAACAATTGATGTTCTGTTGCAACTACTGGGTAAGTTACGTTTATTCTGCAACTAAGAAACTAGAGTTGTGATGCTTTTTTGTAATATATTGCAATCTATAAGAAGTTCCTCCCAGCAATGAGGTAAATAAACAGCAGACTATTACATCTCCTATGGTACATTTGATTTAAATAAATATTTTTTCAATATTATGAGTGTTGGTACTACATAATTTTTGGTAGCGATGTGGACTCCTCTGTATACAATATATGCTACTAGTTTGGTTATCTGTATATTTCCTAAAGAGTGTAATATAGCCATTATTTAGTCAGACAAAACACATCACTACTATTGATTCCAGTTGAGGTAAGGAA